CGAAAAGGCAAGAAAGAAGCCGTCACCCCCTAAGGCAGTGTTGTCCAAACTTGGCCACTTTAAGATGAGTGGACTTCAACTCTCAGAATTCCCCAGCCAGCCAGAATTCTGAGAGTTGAAGTCCACTCATCTTAAAGTGGCCAAGTTTGGACAACACTGCCTTAGGGAGTGACGGCTGCTTTCTAGCCTTTCCGGCGGCGGTTCCTCTTTCAGCCGCCAGGCGGCAGAATCGAACAGAGCCGATTCCTTCCTTCAGGCCGGGCTGTGGAAGCACAGCGAGGCTGGCGGGACGGGACGCCTGACCGGGGAGTGGGACGTCTTTAGTCCACACGTTCGGGGAGAGATGGGTGTCTGGGAGCAAGAGCAGGGCAGCAGAGACCTAGGAGGAATCCAGCGTGCCTTGTGATCTTTCGATTATTAAGCTCGTTAAGTATGGGCTGAATTGATGGTCTATCGGGTGGATGCACAGCTGGTTTGGAAAGTGTCCTTGGAGAGCGCTGGGCGATGGCTCCTCATCAGATTGGAGTGAAATGCCTGTGCAGGGCGCCACGCAATCAGAACCCTTCAAATGTCCTTTGAGCTGAGCTGAGCTCCTGGTTTTTTCAAGGACACAGGCATGCATTTTTCTTAATAATGTGGCAGTAGAGCAGATTTGCCCGTGCCTTCTCCTGGAATGCTTTCTCTTCTGGCTGACCCCTTGGAAGTTCTCCTTAGAAGTCCCTGGAGGGGCAGAGGAACAGATGAGGGATGGCTCTCTTGGAAATGGCAGTTGCGAAAAGGTGCTTAGGACCCAAATGACTCGCAAGCTGAACTTGAGCCAGCCGCAGACAAAGGCAAATGCAATGTTAGGGTTCATCAACAGTCATACAATCTCCAAATCACAGGAAGTGATAAACTCCACTTTATTCTGCAGTGCTCTGACACAACTCCAATAGAGTGACCAGTTTGGGACACTGTATTTTAGGAAAGATTAAGAGAAACTGAAAAGTTGCTGACAGGATGACCTGGAGATAGAAATCACAACTTTTGAGAGAGACTGAGGGAATGCTAAGAAGAGGTTAAGTGGCCTAGTGTCCCAGTCGCTCTCATCTCAGAGTGCAGGACACAGATTACTGGAAAGGACTTAAGTTAAAAGAAGTCAGATTTCCAAAAACCTCCCAGGAGTAAATGCAGTTGGACCGTGGGGCTCAGTGGGGTGCAGAGGAGGTGGTGGGCTCCCTTTCCTTCACCAGAGTTGGGCTAGATGATCTATGAGGCCCTACCAATGAGTTCATACAGCAACAGTGGTGACTTTGGGACCGGACTCCAAGGCTGTGGGTCAAGAGAAGGCCAGGCTGGCCCAACTGCCGTGGCTGGGCCTGGGGCAGCTGAAGGAGGAGGGGGCTGAAACACACCGCTGAGGCTACTCCTCTTAGCAGCCACCCCCTTCTCGCTGAGGAAGTCAATAAAAGGCTACGCAACTCTGCTTGTTGAGGGCTGCCCCTGGTGGTGTTGGGACCTTGTTAGGAGAGGCAGTGGACAGAAAGCCCAGTCTGGTCT